CTTTGATTCATGCAAATTCAGCAAAAATGACCAGATTATTAGTCAATATAGTAGATGTGTCAGAAAAGAAAGCATGCACACGATTTTATTAACTAAGTTTGCAAGACCACAGTCCCCACAGTTTGTATGTTTGTTCATTCTGTACATTTGTTTTTACACATGCCATATATCTTTTAGGGAGCGCTTGTAGTATTGCGATCAACACCAGGTTTCAAACAGTCTGTACATAACATGACAGTTTGTAATATAGAGGTTTACTGAATATTGATGATAGAGTAATTGCAGAAACGGACACTTCCATGACAGGGTTTGCTTAAATTAACGTTCCTTTGAAAATTTCATAATTTTCTTTAGTGTTCTGTGTTTATGTATTGTATGCAGTAAATATAATCTAAAGTATTAAAGTGTTGATAACTGTATTTAAAAAAAATATATATAGCATTTGTTTCTTAATCTCAAAGTCCACAAGTTTTTAGGCCTATGTTAAATTCAAGGACACGTTTCGAAGGACACTACAAACTCACTTTCTGTGTCTCACACAAACATGCATACACATGGACTTCTCACTGCCATCAGATAGAGCAAAACCAGCCACACAGTTTACATAAACAAATATTTAGGGTTGTGCCAATAGTAGCCTATTGTGTATCGACGATATAATCAGAGAAATCACCTTGCCTTGCTATTGCTTTTGACATTATTATTATTATTATTATCAGGCTAGTTCTAATATCTAATCAATATTAGGCTTATTTGCTGCATCATATTTATTTTCCCACATTTTACAGTGTTGCGTGTTTTAACCAATCACACACGATTCTGTTGAGTTTATGAATGCAGCGGCCAATCAGAAGCGTTCAGATGAGTCATCGCTGAAACACCTGAGTTTTGTTGTTCAGTGCGTGCGCTCGCTGACTGATTTCTGCTCTCTCGCGAATTCTCTCATCATAAACAACAAAGTGCAGATGTACGTGCATTGTAAGTGTAAGAGATTTATTCGTCATACAGTGTAGACAGCTTCACTGATTATAACGGGAGTGTTTTTCACAGTGAATAAACTCACGCTAGACTGAAGTCAGTGATGTTCTTTGATAATTTAAATGCTCGTTTTCCGTAGCTGCTGTTTGAATAACTGAGGAAATTAAAGCATTATAATTAGTAAATGTTTCTATAAAATTGTTAACAGGTTAAATCTTATAAAATATAAATATTAAAAATATTTTATGATAAGACATCAATATGCTACTTACTTGACTAAAAAAGATATAATAGTCAACCCTTCCTACGCAACCTACAGCTTGTATTCAATGCTGAAGCATGCATTTTTAGCTACTGATGAATATAACCATATTTTGGTAAATGAACACTATGAGGTTCAGCTTTGGGTGTGACAGACGCCTGCAGGCACCTGTGGTTTCAGAACCTGTTCAAGCAGTGCTTTCTCCACCCTCTTTGCTGAAATGGTAATGTTTCCTGAGTCATGGGAACATTCAGTCTGTAAACTAATTGATGTCTCTAGAGCTGTGTCTCATCTGCTGCCACTATATGCCTCTTGAATGGTTGACAGAAAAGCCACACCCACCAATGCAGCCCATAAACGGGTCAGCTCTGATTCACGTGAAATGGTGAGCACAGGAATCAGACAGCACTATAGTTTCTTCATGGGCGTATTAAAAGGGTGGACATATGATTTCCCTTGAATTATTCTGATTAGGCCGTTTCAGGGCTTGAAAATGAATACGCCCTTTGATTCATGCAAATTCAGCAAAAATGACCAGATTATTAGTCAATATAGTAGATGTGTCAGAAAAGAAAGCATGCACACGATTTTATTAACTAAGTTTGCAAGACCACAGTCCCCACAGTTTGTATGTTTGTTCATTCTGTACATTTGTTTTTACACATGCCATATATCTTTTAGGGAGCGCTTGTAGTATTGCGATCAACACCAGGTTTCAAACAGTCTGTACATAACATGACAGTTTGTAATATAGAGGTTTACTGAATATTGATGATAGAGTAATTGCAGAAACGGACACTTCCATGACAGGGTTTGCTTAAATTAACGTTCCTTTGAAAATTTCATAATTTTCTTTAGTGTTCTGTGTTTATGTATTGTATGCAGTAAATATAATCTAAAGTATTAAAGTGTTGATAACTGTATTTAAAAAAAATATATATAGCATTTGTTTCAAATGAATAAAATACTCTTAATCTCAAAGTCCACAAGTTTTTAGGCCTATGTTAAATTCAAGTGTCATGCTATATGCTACACATGCCATATATCTTTTAGGGAGCGCTTGTAGTATTGCGATCAACACCAGGTTTCAAACAGTCTGTACATAACATGACAGTTTGTAATATAGAGGTTTACTGAATATTGATGATAGAGTAATTGCAGAAACGGACACTTCCATGACAGGGTTTGCTTAAATTAACGTTCCTTTGAAAATTTCATAATTTTCTTTAGTGTTCTGTGTTTATGTATTGTATGCAGTAAATATAATCTAAAGTATTAAAGTGTTGATAACTGTATTTAAAAAAAATATATATAGCATTTGTTTCAAATGAATAAAATACTCTTAATCTCAAAGTCCACAAGTTTTTAGGCCTATGTTAAATTCAAGGACACGTTTCGAAGGACACTACAAACTCACTTTCTGTGTCTCACACAAACATGCATACACATGGACTTCTCACTGCCATCAGATAGAGCAAAACCAGCCACACAGTTTACATAAACAAATATTTAGGGTTGTGCCAATAGTAGCCTATTGTGTATCGACGATATAATCAGAGAAATCACCTTGCCTTGCTATTGCTTTTGACATTATTATTATTATTATTATCAGGCTAGTTCTAATATCTAATCAATATTAGGCTTATTTGCTGCATCATATTTATTTTCCCACATTTTACAGTGTTGCGTGTTTTAACCAATCACACACGATTCTGTTGAGTTTATGAATGCAGCGGCCAATCAGAAGCATTCAGATGAGTCATCGCTGAAACACCTGAGTTTTGTTGTTCAGTGCGTGCGCTCGCTGACTGATTTCTGCTCTCTCGCGAATTCTCTCATCATAAACAACAAAGTGCAGATGTACGTGCATTGTAAGTGTAAGAGATTTATTCGTCATACAGTGTAGACAGCTTCACTGATTATAACGGGAGTGTTTTTCACAGTGAATAAACTCACGCTAGACTGAAGTCAGTGATGTTCTTTGATAATTTAAATGCTCGTTTTCCGTAGCTGCTGTTTGAATAACTGAGGAAATTAAAGCATTATAATTAGTAAATGTTTCTATAAAATTGTTAACAGGTTAAATCTTATAAAATATAAATATTAAAAATATTTTATGATAAGACATCAATATGCTACTTACTTGACTAAAAAAGATATAATGTGTCGTTTATACATTTATATATATCATTAGGCTGCTTTTAGCCTTACCCTAGAGTTGGTTCAATCTCAGGCTATGATTATAAGTAAATAATTCAATAGATGAGCATGATAATATCGTGTATTGGTGATAGGATAGCACGATTCTTTTCCTCAGTGACACTTATATAATTGTTATTAATAATTGATTGTTAAGCGCAGGAGAGCGGAGTGAAGGAGACGCGCTGAATGAAAGCGCACATTCACTCTCTGACAGCAGGTGGCGCTGATGGAGCAGCAGAAATGCAGTCGTAGCTGCGCTACTTTCTGAAATGTATTTAAATGATTTAAACAGCCATTCAGATTTTTGTATTCGCTATGGTGTTCATAGCAGCACTGAATACTTACTTACATTTAATTTCATTTTAATCTGGACTACAACATGCCGTAGATATTGTTTGAAAAGGTTTTGATTCTTTATTGTTCGGTCACACTTTACATTAAGGCTCCATTAGTTAACATTAGTTAATTCATTAGTTAACATAAACTGCCAATGAAAAATTCTTCTAAAGCATTTATTAATCTTAGTTATATCTGATCAAATGCACATTATTATTCTTTAGTTTGGTTTAAACAAATCCATTTTGCTTGGTTGGAACAGCAGCTACGCTAATTATGTCTCTATTTGTTTCCCTGTTTTTGCCACGGGATGTAACTAGGATTTACACAAGCTTCAGTCTGGATCCAGAACACTTGAGAAGAGATGATGCCAACCCTGAAACAACATACACAACTACCACATTTTGCGATAAGTTTGATTGCATCATATAATAATTGCTGTTAATAATCTGTTTGATTACATCTTTAATTGATTTTTCCATACATTTCTGCCATATGTACATTCACTGACAGTCACCACTGATAACCTACCACTAAATATTGTAGAAACTTAATTTGCTGTAAAGTTGCTTTGCAATGATTTGTACCGTAAAAAGCGCTGTACAAATAAACTTGAATTGAATTCGTTGATTTCAACATTTAATAACAAGTTGTATTTTTTTAACAAATAACTTAACTTCTGTTACAGATGTTGCTCATTGTTAATGCATTAACTAAGGTTAACTAATGAGATCTTATTGTAAAGTGTTACCTGTTAATTCTTTTGAACTTTAATCCATTTGAAACAATAGTTTACTTTGTAAATTTGTTCTCCAATGGTTTATTGTACTTAAATGTTCAGTTTTTATTATAAAAAAGTTATTAACCCTGTTATACTGAATTATGACAACATTTTTGCAATTTATTTCAAAACCGTGATAATACCGTATACCGTGCAATTATCGCAACATAGAAACTTGATACCGTCACATGCCTATGGCATTCTACAGCTCATTCACAGAAACTTCCCAGTATGCAGATGTCATTTAACAACAGCTGTGTAACTTTTAAGGTACTGTAAAAGTTTATTGTCAATTCAAATTAAATTCAGCAAGTGTAAAATGATGAAGTACTGTGTGTGCAATTGTAGGTGCCCAGCCCTGAAGCGCTCCATTCAAACAGGTCGAGCCTCTCCAGATCGGGTTTCACTGCGGGGTGGAGCTCAGGGAAAGTTTCAGATAAAGAGTGGCCTGAAAACATTCCGAGAGCTTCTTCACACTCGCCCAGGAGACACCGAGCAGCGTTATTATCCAAAATGTTTCGTTGTGGGATCGAGTATCCGAGGTGCAGGTGGATCCTGCCTCTGCTTCTGCTGTTTGCGATTATTTTCGATATTATCGCCATCGCAGCGCAGTCCGGATGGGTGGAGGACGAGGGCGCAAAGACGCACTACGCCAGCATGTGGACACAGTGCCGAGGCCACAACGATCAGTGGGACTGTAAATCTCTCATGGAGCATCGTGAGTATTCACTTCAAGTCCTGAGACATTCAAATACAGCTCAGGTGAAAGCGGTCACCAGAAACTAAATGAAACAGGTGGAAAAGTGTCACTTTATTTAGCCTTTTCTGTATTCATTTTGGATTTTTAAAAATGATTATTCTTTTTAAAATGATACATAATAATAGGAACAAAATGTCTGTGTTTGTCAGGTTTATAAGCTTCTTTTGTGTCAAGTGTTTTTCATTCTGAAAGCTTATGAATTCTTAATAAAGCCCAGCTTTGTTAGTTTATTTTTTTTTGTCAGGCTCATTAAATTTGATTGAAATCAGCTAAATTATGATAAACAGACTGGCACGTACATTAAATACCACTCTAACAAAATTGCCACGTTCTAATTTACTAATTCAGTTTATCTAAAAAAAATAATGCTGTGGCATCAGACCGTAAAATATGTTTTAATGTCGTTTTTATTTTCTATAACATTTATATCTTTTATTTTCTATATCTATACTCTGGGCGAAATTAAAATAATTGATGTCACTTTCACAGTTTTCAAAGTCTGCTTCGCATTTAACCAGTTGAACAAGTTATAACCTGCAGTCTTCCCCTTTTCTCAGCTGTTATTTTCATTAGTTTGCCAATTGAACATGTTTAAACTGAGGCCTATTAGTAGAGATCTGTCCATTACTGGAAACATTTATTTTTGTAGAAATAACAGTAGTGCTTCTAAATGATTCATAGCTTGATAATAGTCTACGGTTTAAATGGTGATGCACTATTCCACTGCTTAGGATTATTTGGTTAGCATTTAATCCTTCTTTAATTCTCTTGTGCTATACGTTAAGTAACTGGCATGGAAAATATAGTTATGTATAGCCTATCTGAGGACTGTGGCCACAGTGTCGATCAAGCAGTATTTTTATAACAATTTCTAAACACCAAAGATCATTCATGTCTGAGTGATAAAATGACTTGAAATAGAGTTAGACCAAATAATACTAGTTGCATAAATCATATCCCCCTCAAACTCAAGCACACCCTCCTCCCCCCAGCGCTCTCTGGGTGTGACTGTATTCACAGACTTGGAGCAAAATCACATTCCTCTATCGAGTGTTAGGAAGCCAAGCATTGTCTCTACAAGTCCTCACAGCCGCACTGAGTCAAGACTGATACTAGTGAAACATTGCTGTTAATGTGTAACCATGCACGTTAGAACTTCTCATGGAAACTCACCTGTTGTATGTGTTCCGCATGCTCACGTTGATTAATAAAGAGAAAGTGAAGAGATACACAATCATTGCATTAACTGTACCTTGTTTACACTTACACAGTGTCTTTGTATCCCTACACTGTAAAAAAAATTCCGTAGAATTTACGGTAAAAAACCGGCAGCTGTGGTTGCCGGAATTTTAGCAACGTTTTAGGTTTTACGGTTGTAACTTAATTTTACAGTTAAATACCGTAATTTCATTAACTGATATAATGTTAATATACCAACCTACTGAAGTACTGAAATCTGTTTTGTACCTTTGTAATACACTGATATCCACCAAATGCAGGAGGGGATGAGAAAGTCACATGATGAACCAAAGCCCATCACAAGCAGCTTTTATATACTAACATATATAGAAGGTGCACAGTGTCATTCACACAAACACTAAACACCATCACGGTAACACACATGAAACTGAAATAACGCAATAAACAAGCATTTAACAACACTAGGTGTAACACACAACCCTAATATACAAAACTGATAAGAAAAAAACTAAGAAGAAACATAGTTATTTCAACAAAAAACATCAAATTTGAAATGTAACGCAGGGAATTCTGGGAATGTCAATTTACGGTTATTCACTGTAAATTATACGGTATTTTTTTCACTTCCAAAAACGGTACACTGCCGTAAAATTAATGTCCAATACATGTAATGTCCAGTACAGTTTTTCACCGTATATAGTAGGGGAATTTACCGTTAACCATTTAACAGGTTTTTACTGTAGCATTTTTACAGTCTTTTACCGTTAAATTCACGGTCATTTTTTACAGTGTACCAATGTTAAAACTAATTTATGGTTTTGATTTTAGCTGCTGACCCACAAAGGGTCAATTTTTTTGTTTTTTTTAAATATGTTAGTGTGACCGTGATGAAACAAATAAGCAGCATGTGCCTGAAAGTCCTCTCGGTTCTCCCTCCAGCATGGGCCCAGGCAGTTGCCGCTCTGATGATCATAGGCCTCATCATCCTCATCATCGCCTTCATCGTCTCATTTGTGGCTCTCTGCTGTAGCCTCAACATCACTCTGCTGCCTTTAATCGGAGGCCTCCTTATTTTGGCTGGTAAGACACTTTCTTACCGTATCAATCTGTTGGATATCAAGGACACCCCTTCTGAGGAAGTTCCACAGCGAGAGCGTTTCCTTTGAATTGAATTGTTTCTAAATAATACATGGATGTTGGGCTGGGCTGTGTGATGGTATAAAGCCGTAGGAAACCTGTAGAGATTTGGCTGGACTGTGGTTGATGGTTCTGCACACAGCTATCAGTGAGCAGGACGGCTTTAGGTGATTTCGGTCTTTCTGCCCTCATGTATGTGAGTTTTGCTGTTGGTATGGGATTGAGTGTCGCTCTCACCCCTCCCCCATCCTCTTCACTTGTATTCAGGTGAAATTTAAAGGAACACTCCACTATTTTTGAAAATAGGCTCGTTTTCCAACTCGCCTAGAGTTAAACAGTTGAGTTTTACCGTTTTCGAATCCATTCAGCCGATCTCTGGGTCTGGCGGTAGCACTTTTAGCTGTAGCTTAGCATAGATCATTGAATCTGATTAGACCGTTAGCATCTCGCTCAAAAATGACCAAAGAGTTTCGATATTTCTCCTATTTAAAACTTGACTCTTCTGTAGTTACATCGTGTACTCAGACCGACGGAAAATGAAAAGCTGCGATTTTCTAGGCCGATATGGCTAGGAACTATACTCTCATTCCGGCGTAATAATCGAGGAACTTTGGGCTAATCAGATTCAATGATCTATGCTAAGCTACAGCTAAAAGTGCTACCGCCAGACCCGGAGATCGGCTGAATGGATTCGAAAACAGTAAAACTCAACTGTTTAACTCGAGGGGAGTCGGAAAATGAGCCTATTTTCAAAAATAGTGGAGTGTTCCTTTAAGAACGGCTGTCGGGACGGGATACTTTTGTTATTCACTTATTCATCGCCAGACTGAATCATAACCTCTTCTTTCTAATTTGATATCATCATAAATGTTTCAAATGTTCCTTAAATCCTCCCTCTTTGATTTGAGTTTCGTTATGAAATGTAAGCTAGCCTGATCTGATCTGAAAACTCTGCCTCTGTGAACTATGCCTGTTTCCGCAATAGCTCATTCTGTCTGAGATTGACAGCCTTGTTGCTGGAAACACAGACATACACAGTGTGAAAGTTCCCTACACGCCCAAACAGGGCTTGGCCTTCACTCACATGTCTCTGCAACACTCGCAGATACGCCCTGCTCTCCCACAGAGTGTGATGGCTTTATTGAGCTGAGCTTTAAGCTACTGATTACACATTTTTATGGACTAAAACAAACTGGTGCCAAGTTTGTATAAGGTGCTATTTATAAAGAACTTGTTGGACACCCAGGAATACATAGCCATTTTTGTTCGTGTGTGATTAAAAACGGAATAATTGGGACACTAACCCCCGGTTTCACAAACAAGGCTTAAGCCTAGTCCCAGACTAAAATGTAAGTCTGAGCTGTTTCAACTAAAAGAAACTTGCACCGACTGACCTTAAAATACAGTATATCAGTGTCTCTGTTTTGTCTCAAGATGCACACCAGTAATGTTTTTTCTAAAGCACGTTTATAAAAATGACTTAAATGTCCTAATTGAACTATGGGCTAATCCTGGCTTAGTCTAAGCCCTGTCTGTGAAACCAGGCCTACAGCTCTTAAGCACTGCAGGAGATATAAGTCATGAAACCCTTTCCTCAGAACTAACTTGACAAGCTGTAGACGTTTGAATTCTGTTGCTTCAGAGATGTTGGCATTAATGAGTTTGATTCCTCAGATAGTTTGGATTAAAGCATCTGCCAAATGTAAATGAGTTCAGGTTCACACAGGAGGAAACACAGATGTAGCTCATCACATTAACTTTGGCTATGTTCCTCTAGTGTTTTGTGCTCATTCTGAACAGGGAGTCTGTTGTTTTATCAACTGAAACCTAAAAGTGTGCTTGCACTGTCTGTCTTAAATGCTACCTGGTTTAGTATTTTGCAAAATGGTGACTTGTAAACAGTGTAACTTAAGTAGGCTTCCTGTAACTGAACTTTTCTTTGAACAAAATTTGTTGCAAAATCTGTTGCGCTGTAAAGTGACTCAGCTTTCTCTGGTTCCAGTAATCATCCAGATAATCGCTCTGATCATCTACCCTGTCAAGTTCAACGAGCTGATCTATGAAGGTTATTACGACTACACCTGGGCATACGGCTTCGGCTGGGGGGCCACCATCCTGATGCTGGGCTGCGGGATCCTCTTCTGCTGTCTTCCTAGCTACGAATATGAGCTTTCCGGCATGGCCAAGCCCAAATATATCTACACCAGTGCCTGAAACCCCCCAAAACCCCACCTCTCATAAAGGACAATGTTCAGCCACCCAAGCCTAAATGTCAATGCTCACAGATCTCCAAAAGCATTGTCATCTTCCTAAATGAAACATAGGACCTACTGACTTTGATGAGGGCTGTCAGTGCAGCCAAACTGGGCAATGCCCTTTTGGGGCTAATGCTATTAACGTTTATTTTAATTAATTTTGTTATTTGTATTAATCATTCACAAACAGACTGGCTTTGATGTGTGTGTGTGTTTATATCACTCAGCACAGATTGAACTCCACAAAGCATTATTCAAAATCTCTATATCAGGCAGTTTACATTATATTGTCCATCATATCACATTAATATGGTTAAGAAAACAATTAAAAATACAGGTAGTTTGCTTTGAATTCACACTGTAACGTGAACACTGCAATGTAAAGTCTGACTGAGTTTTGTTATTTGTATGTTTCTTGAACATCTCTACATATCAACATTAAGAAAATATTTTTATGATGTAGCTGTATTTTACATGAATGTCATTCCATGTCAGCCTGTTCTTGTTTTCACAATAGCGGCTGTGCATACTTGATCGCACACTTCCCTAAAGTGCTCTTACTGTCAGCGAAGAGTGTGTGTTTTGTGTTTGGCTGCATGGCCAAAGTGAAGTGAACGAAGAGGGGTTTTGTGCACTAATCCTGAGCTTGCTTTTACAGTTAAATTGGTGAACAACCTGATGTTTTTCTTGAAATCTTCGAAAATCTTGATGCATTCATGCCGTGAGCAATTAATTTCAATTAGTCAGTTTGATGTGGAAGAAATGTATAAAAAGTACTTTGCTTGTAAACTTTGCAAACTTGTAGGTTTTTTGGAGCATTTGACTAGATTCTAATTAATTCACTTTGTCATTTGCAGTGATATGAATTGTAAATCAATCTTCAATAAAGGGGAGACTTTCTGTTAAGAGGCCAATCACAGCTAGTTTTGTGTGTATGTCTGTGTGTGTGTGCGTGTATCTCTCCCTGTGTGTGTGTGTGTGTGTGGGTGTATGTGCGCGTGTATGTCTGTGTGTGTGTGTGTGTGTGGGTGTATGTGCGCGTGTATGTCTGTGTGTGTGTGTGTGTGTGGGTGTATGTGCGCGTGTATGTCTGTGTGTGTGTGTGTGTGTGGGTGTATGTGCGCGTGTATGTCTGTGTGTGTGTGTGTGTGTGGGTGTATGTGCGCGTGTATGTCTGTGTGTGTGTGTGTGTGTGGGTGTATGTGCGCGTGTATGTCTGTGTGTGTGTGTGTGTGTGGGTGTATGTGCGCGTGTATGTCTGTGTGTGTGTGTGTGTGTGGGTGTATGTGCGCGTGTATGTCTGTGTGTGTGTGTGTGTGTGGGTGTATGTGCGCGTGTATGTCTGTGTGTGTGTGTGTGTGTGGGTGTATGTGCGCGTGTATGTCTGTGTGTGTGTGTGTGTGTGGGTGTATGTGCGCGTGTATGTCTGTGTGTGTGTGTGTGTGTGGGTGTATGTGCGCGTGTATGTCTGTGTGTGTGTGTGTGTGTGGGTGTATGTGCGCGTGTATGTCTGTGTGTGTGTGTGTGTGTGGGTGTATGTGCGCGTGTATGTCTGTGTGTGTGTGTGTGTGTGTGTGCGCGTGTATGTCTGTGTGTGTGTGTGTGTGTGTGTGCGCGTGTCTCTGTGTGTGTATCTCTGTGTGTGTGTGTATGTGCGCGTGTATGTTTGTGTGTGTGTGTGTGTGTGTGCGCGTGTCTCTGTGTGCGTGTGCATGTATCTCTGTGTGTGTGTGTGTGTGTGTGTGTGCGTGCATGATCTTGCTGCTCTATGAAGAAATCAAAGGTAGTTCTCTCTACTAAGGGGCTCAAGCACAGAAAGTGTTTAAGCACATGATTTGTATCAAAATTTGGCCTAGAAACTTGGTTATTTTGAATGAAGACGGTCTAGAAAGCACTGTGTGAGTGGCCATGAGCAAAGATGGCAGATTTCAAACTCAAATGTCCAGGTGGTTGTGCGCCAGCCAAGCATCTGCTATTGAGATGAATGTTAACAGTCCTGTCTAGACCTTCTTAATTGCCATAAATCAATTCAGATCTGCTGCCAAGTAGTTTTGAGCCAGTCACCTGAAACTAAACGCTAAGTGATAAATCATGAGAAATGACATCATGAGAAAGCTGATTGATGACGCCACTGAAGTCCTAAAAACAGGGCAGTGATGAAACATTAGGTTTCACAAAATAAAACAGAGCAAATAAAGTGTAATGATATGAATAAAAACAGTATTCTTCCACCAAACAATGTAGTTCCTCAGAAACAGTTGTGGTTCCAACAAAGTGCTTGCCGAGCAACACACAGAAGTAAACAAAGGTGTGTGTTTGTAGAGTAATTTACAACAGCTTCGAACACGGCTCAGCCAATCAGAATCAAGGACCGGAACTATCCGTTTTATAATCCCATGTTTCTTGCAATAAATAAATAAATAACTTGTTCCGTTTAATTAGAGTAAGACATTTTTCGCAGAGACATCAGCAGGAACTAACAGGACTCTAAACTCTGATTTCTTGCTTTTATAGCCTATCTATACTGATCTGTTCATGCATAATGCATCAGCAAATTTTAGGCTAACTGTAAATTGACTTTAAGCCAAGAATTTAAGACATTTTGAGCCCAGGCTTCTGAATCAGAATTCAGCTATCTAACCTATTCACTCTTAAAATCAACTCATCACATTCAGAGCATGGCAGCAAAACGACATTAAAGGGATCATATGATGTTGTTAAAAAGAACATTATTTGGTGTATTTGGTGTAATGAAATGTGTTTATACGGTTTAAGGTTAAAAAAACACATTATTTTCCACATACTGTACATTATTGTTTCTCCTCTATGCCCCGCCTTTCTGAAACGCGTCGATTTTTACAAAGCTCATCGGTCTGAAAAGCGAGGTGTGCTGTGATTGGCCAGCTATCCAGTGCGTTGTGATTGGCCGAATACCTCAAGCGTGTGACGGAAATGTTACGCCCCTCACCATACTGTGATGCCGTGTCCCAGCCGGAGCGATGATTCAAAACATTAAAACCCATTATAAACGAGGCATTTGTTGCATCCAGTGGGGACATAATTATGGATTATAATAACTTATCCTGTATTTTTACGCGTTGCATTGCATCGCGCCGCGTAAACATAAAACCATGTCTGCATTTGTGATCGGAGAAATGACAAACAAGTGCTACTCTACACTGCCCAAAAAACTCGTTTTTGAATCATCAGTGGCAAATTCTTTAAATATAAAAAAGAACTTACAGTCCGTGAGTCAGAACAGCCGGCATTGTTGTCTACTCTCCCAGGATCAGGAAACGGTGTGGCCGGCGGATTCGACAAAGGAGCGTCCGGAGGGCTTGCGGCAACCACATGTGACGACCCCGGGATGGACTCCGCTTCGTCCACGGTGAAAGCCGATCCGGCGATCCACAGCGAAGTTGAAGTATTTCCTCAGCGACCAGCACGGATCAGCTCCAGGCATGACGAAGCGGATATCGTCCTCTTTTGGAAGACCAAACAAAGTAGTTTCGCTTTCACAACGAAGCACACAGCGTCTTCACGACATGGCAGCGGCAGCAACAATACTACAGCGAGAATAAAAGTTACGCCTTCTTTCTTTGCGTGAACATTTTGCAAATCTTCCCACATAGTGACGTAGACATGTGGGGTGTGTTAGAACGAGGCGTTTTAGGTAGGCGTGACTCTTAACTTTTATAAAGAATATCTCTTTGGATTTGAGACTTTAGTCTTTGCAACTTTACAGACCTTCTTTATGCACCAAGAGCTTGTAACACTCCAAAGAGAAAGGAACAATTGAAATCGCATCATATGACCCCTTTAATGATGTAACAGCAAATGACGATAATTTGCATGTTTCTCCAGAAAAAAAACAACTGACATTGCTGACAAGAATATGATGTACAAAATAGTATGTATAGTTGCGGTGCCTTGTACACCTTTGTACCTTATAAGTACCAGCATATTAGTACCTAAAATGTACATATTAGTAACTAAATTAAACATATTAGTACCTTTTGAAAAGCTACTGCCCCAGAGACGGGTTTTGTACCTTTATTTCTGAGAGTGGGTACAATGCACGGTCAAATCTGGCCTTTGGTGTGAATCCATAGTTGCTGCTTACAGCTATAACTGTCCTTTCACAATTCAGTTTGAAATGTTCTTTGCTGTAATCCAAAACTACAGCGTACACACAGTGAAATATGACACACAGGCACAATATCAGGCATGTTTTTCTGCTGAAGTTGAGTCACCGGGATGACAGGCATGTGGAGGACACACCTAGAGACACGCCTGTTCTGTTATTACACATGTGCCCTTCTCTCTGTCATTGTCTAAACATTGACAGCATCTGGTACATGCATACTGAAGGGAACAGGTTAACTGAGGACAGAACAGCACAGAAATAAACCAGCTGAATGTTTATTCCTCAGAGGTTTGAAATACTCTCATATTAACACAACAAATTTGTACTTCGAGAGCATACTTAGTTTTTCTGCCTACTATTGTTGTGATATCTGATGTCTAAGCCTGAAAATAAACACTTTACACACTTTTTTTTTTAAAGAAACCTGTAAATTAGAAGTTGAGACACTACAAAAAAACCAAAAAGATTCACTGGGATATTTTTTTCAGCCCAACGTACCAACGTATGTATGGGTTGGTTGCTAATAACCAGCAGCTCTAGTGTCGATACCACTGCGCTTGTGCGTGTTTCAACAAGCATCAAGCAACAGATTTAGCTATTTTAAAATTGTATTTTGGCAACTTTTGGAAAAGTGACTTAGAAAGCATGCACTTTCACTTTAAATTACACAGAAAGAGGAAACAATGATCTGCCAGGTGAAGGGATACAGCTAGGGATGGATGGAAAATAACTAGATTAAATTGGCTACCTATTAGATTGTGTTTTATTAGCGTCTACACCTACCACAACACTAAACTTAACTTTACAATAATGCAAAAACGGTAATTAATTGTTGTGCAGCATGACAAAAATGAGCAATATTGATGTGCGCATGCGCAGTCTGTCCGTAGCTGAACCCAGGCGGCCTAGCAGTACACACATCGTGTGAGTTAATTACGGTTGTTCAGAATGTGTACATTAAGAAAATACATGAAATGTTTTTGCTTTTTTCAGGATTCTTTGATGAATAAAAGGTTTAAAAAACAGCATTTATTCAAGATAGAAATCTTTTCTAACAATACAAGTCTTTACTATCACTTTTTATCAGTTTGACACATTATTGCTTAATAAAAGTATTAGTCTAATTTCTTTCAACAAAGAAAAGGAAAGGAAAAAGAAAGAAAGAAAATAATAATTACTGACACTAAACTTTTGAACAGGATCGTTTATGTGTATATATATATATATATATATATATATATAAATAACTTTTACAAACATATTGCAAATCATATTTTTATGGAAGCCCGTTTCCGCCACTGAATAAAAAACAATAAAAAAAAGGTTGTTGAGACTTTTTATCTCACAATTCTGACTTTGTCACAGAATTGCGTGATATAAACTCACAATTGCGAGATCAAAATGGTCAATTCTGACTTCAGAATTGCGAGTTTAGGCTATATCTCACGATTATGACTTTTTAAATCGCAAATGCCAGTTGATATCACGCAATTATGAGAAAAAAAGTCAGAATTGTGAGATAGTGACTAGACAAAGTCGCAATTACCTTTTTCACTTTTTTATTCAGTGGCGGAAACGTGCTTCCATATATTTTTGGTGAGACGTCCAGTCAAATCTTTTTGAAATTGTTATTAAATGCTTAGAAATCAAGAGATGGTCAGTCAGTTCTACGCAATGATGCAGTTTTGCGTCGTGGTTACACAATGACATCATGTTATTTAGCAACTTTTAGTAAGAAATGGACCTGCCTTTAGCAATTTCCCCTGA